AGAAAGAAGACCAGGAGCAGGAGCTGTTCCCCAAAACACAACATCATAGGATGGAGGACAGCCACAGTGCAGCCCCACATTCTGAGTTCTGGAAGCTTCCTTTCCAACCCTCATGGTCCTGGCATGAGACTGGCTGTAATGTATGGGGATTCTCCAGGCCCAGGCTGATGGTGGTGGGGGTCACATCCACGGCGGATGACAGGCACGTTCCGGAGTCTCTGTCCCTTTCCTGATACATGTCCTCCTCCCTCAGCTCAATATACGACTCTGGCAAAGCAACACTAAATAGATACCTTTATGTGGTTGTTTGTTGTTAATACAAACATACATCCAGGTGACTTTGTGCCAGGTTCCCGTACCCCTGGCTGGGCCCCTGGGGTCTCTGTGGCAGCCTCAGGCCTCAGAACACTGACTGGTCTGTCTGCCGTCAGCATGGGGCAGGTTATGGGACAACATGAGCCACCCCACAGGGGACAAGGAGTGTGAGGCAGTGGAAGTAGTATTCTCTCTGATGAGGAGTCTCTAAGGGTCTAGGGTAATCCAAGTTGGCCTCAGGAACCCCATGTTGTTTTCCACAGCAGCCAGATAGCATGTCTCCACTGCCAGGCTCCCAGTGCCAGGCTGCTCGGAGCACCTTCTGCACTTGCCTAGCGATAGGTAGTAGGTGTGCATCTTTTCACTTCCTGCTCTACCATCTATAACTCTTCCCAGAAGAAATTTCAACTCAAGTCCTTTGCCCATTTTTACTTGGATGCCTTCTTGTTTGGTTTGGTTTGGGGTTTTTTGAGATAGGGTCTCACTTTGTAGGGCAGGCTGGCCTTGAACTTGCAGCAATCATCCTGCCTCAGCTTCCCAAGTACTGGAATGACAGGTGTGCGCCACCACACCATGTCCGCTTGAGTGTTTTTTGTTGGTGAGTTGTAATAGTTCTTTATATATTCGGGATATCAAACATTGATAGTCAGGTTTTTAAAATTATTTGCTTCGTTGTTGTTGTTGTTCTGAGACAGGGTCTCACTATGTAGCCCAGTGTGGCCTTGAACTCTCAGCAATCCTACTGCCTCAGTTTCTTGAGTGCTTGGATACAGGTATGTGCCATCATACCTGGTACTCTGGTTTGCTCTTTAGATGAGGGTCTTGCTTCAAACCCCTGGGGCTCACACAGTCCTCCTGCCTCAATCTTCCAAGTGGATACGAGGGGGCTGGGGAGATGGCTCAATAGGATAAGCGCTTGACTGCCAAGTGGATACGGATGTGCCCAGCTTTAGACATTTACACATTTGCACTGATTTTACTCACAGAGCTGGGCCAGGGAGAGAGCTCAGAATAGGCGTTTGCCTGGCAAGTGCAAGGTCCTGAGTTCAATCCCCAGTACAAAAAAAAAAAAAAAAAAAATTTCACAGCACTCCCCATTCCTTTTTTTCTTTGACAGAACTTCACTATGTAGTTGAGTCTGACCTTGAACTCACTTTGTAGACCAAGATAGCTTTGAACTGCTAGGCAGCAATCTTCCTGCCTCAGCTTCCCAAGTGCTGCGGTTACAAGCACGTGCCACCATGCTTGGCCCTTTCTCACTTTTGTGATACTAGGGATTGAACTCAGGACCTTGTACTTGCCAGGCAAGCACTTATTCTACTGAGCTATCTCCCTAGCCCCTCTCATCTTTTTTGGTAAATGAATGATGCAGAGGTCTGCTGTACATCCCATCTGCTGGTTCCTACCCACAAGTATCTGCACACCCATGCACATGCGAGATTCTCTGGGGCAAGTGGTCCAGGCAGGAAAGGCGCCCAGCAGCTGCAAGATGGGACTCAAAAATGTTTCCCTGTGAACCGGCGCACAGGGCTCCAAGATTACTGCAGCCTGTAATGCCTCATGTGGTCTCTGTCACTGTACCCCTCTGCCAACACTTAGCACTATCCATCCGTTTCCTGCCAATCTGACAGCACACACTGCTGTCTGGTTTGCATTTTCTCACTTCTGCTGCTAGAAGCATTTTAGCTCCTAGCGCTCAGGTTTCCAGTCTTCTCCAAGTTGCCAATGAATATGGTTTTTTTCTGTGGAATTTCTGGACTTCTGTGGCATGCAAGTCTCTGTGGATGTAGGTTTATCATTCCTGTTTTAACACTCTGAAGCTAGTAGGGGTACTAACCTGTGAATAACCGGTCCTGCTGTTTTTCCCCAGGGAAAAACCATTCACCTCTCCCTTTTTGCCAGGCATCCACAGCTTTGGCTGAATTAACCCTTCCCCACCCCTTCATATCGGATTCTCGGGGCTTCTGCTGCACAACCACAAAGTAGGATTCTCCCTAGATCTTCAGGGTGCCCTGTGAACAAGGGCACTACAACAGGCCTCCCACTTAACCTCCTTTGGCTGCTGCAGTCTTGAGTTGTTCAAATCTGATGTAGCTAGCTACAGCCTTAAACCAGATCCCATTTTCTTGCTTTAAGCTGGGTGTAGTGGTACAAACCAGTGAACCCAGCACTTGGAAGACTGAAGCAGGATCACTACCAATTTAGGGCAGTCCTGCTCTACAAAGTTAGGGCTGGCCTGACATTACAAATCAAGACAGTCTCATCACCTCTTAAATAAAAAGATGCTAATCTCGGAAAGATCTCACAATTGCATGCCTACAATCCTGTAACTCAGGCAAGATCCAAAAATGGGATCCAACTTCGGTAACTGAAACTGCCACTGACTGCACCAAAAGTCTTCATACTCTGCACTATTAATCCACCTAACAATGAACAGGGTTGGCCCAACACAGTTCTAGCAGTCTCCACTGGAGATCTTGCTCCCCTAACCCCAGAGGGAAGCACAAAGGTTTGCAGGGGGCAACACTGCAGAATGGCAGGCCTTGCACACTGGCCTCAAGGCTAGGAAGAATGGCTGGGAAGCCCACAAAGCTCACAGTGCAGGACAGAACTTTCTAGCCCCACTGAAAGGGCAAAATCTCACAGGGCATAAAAACTTCTCACAAGCTGCCAACTGCTGGTGGTGTCCAGATGAGGTCACAAGGCCAGAGCTGGGGGACCATTCTCAATCTTAGGCTGGTCCTACCTCTTGATCCTCAGACCTACTTTCCACCAGTGGAATTTGCTTCTGGAGCAGAAATGTCTTTGATTCTCCCTTTTTAAATCCTCCCAAACAGCTCCCAACAAGGAACTTCAGGGATCCTAAACCATTAAGAACATTATGTTCCCTGGGGCTCAGGGGACAGGATATACAACTACCCAGGATCATCAAACCAGTAAACCAGGTCTGGTTGTTTTGTTGGAAATGGGGATTGAACTCAGGCCCTTGTGCTTGCCAGGGAAGCGCTTATTCCATGGAGCCATCTCCCCAGCCCAGTAAACCAGCTCTGGAAACACATCCTGGGGACCCCCAACCTACCTAAAAGTACTGGAGGCCTCATGGCCTGCTGGGTACACCAAGCTTGCTTAGGATAATCCCCAGCCCTTGCACTGCCAGTGCCCACCCAGTACCACCCCCCAGGTCTACCCCAAATCAAAGAGCACCCCTTCATGTACTGCAGCACTTTATTTCTCCTTACACAATGACGTGTTGCTGGGGCCTAATGTTCTCACAGTAGAAAACCAAAAATTTGTCATCTTAAA